GATTGTATTAGCGAAAATGTGTTATTACAAGAGGACCCGTGAAGCGAAAGATTCTTTCAGATATTCATACTCTCCGAAGAAGAGCGAGAGATTTTCGCAGATGTCACAAATTCCTGAAAATTAAGCATTAAATGTCAGGCACATAATTTTATACTAAAAACTCTTCATACTTTAAAAAATTAAATTAAAATTCTTATTTTTAATAATTTTTTTAGCAATAGACAAAAAAAAAAATAGTTAGATTCCGTCATTGCGCAACTATGTCTGTTATATATTTATTTTTTTCCCCCCTTTTCACACTATACTGCATAATTCTAGTTTCTCATTTCTCTTTTACATTCATTATTATCTTATCTAACAATAACGGATTAGGAATGTTTAACAAAAACAAACCAAAAATAAAAATTTAAGAAAAAGGTTAAATAAGACGAAGAGAAAGCAAATACTTGAGAGAAAATAAAAAATATGGCGATGCCATTGAATATTAAAGTTCCAATTTTCACGTATTCTCTTTAAGTATAAAATAAAGCTCTGAATAAATTTTTAATGAGAATTTAAAATAACAGTATGTAAAAGTTCTAGAATAAAATTTTGTATTGTAAAAGCAAAGTCTTCTCAATAGTTTTTAGTTGATAATGGCATATTTCAATAGTTTTGATAGTTTTATCTGCAAAAAAAAGAGCAAAAAGTGAGAAGAAACGTCCATGATATTTTTAAATAAAAAATTTTTTTTTTTCATTCTTTGCTTAAATCTAATTTAAATGCAAATGCCGTTTCTCTTCTACGAATGAATTCGTTTAAATAGGAAGAATTCCTAATGTAAAATTCTATGTAATAGAATTTTTGAAAAGTTTAAATTTAAATAAATTATACATAGATGGTATTCTGTAAAGTGAACCCAGTGGCTTTTAAAATATAGTGAAGATAAAGAATAAATTTATTATTCGGATATAGTAGTTGTAATAGATTTTGTATAACAAATAGATAAATGTGAACACTTATAACAGCTTAATGCATTTAACAGATTCTCTATACTAATGATTGGTATGATAATACGGTACAAGAAACAGACTACATAATTATAACTGGTATGTATAGCTGGACTGTGCAAACTGATAGTGGGATTGATGGTGATGTCTTACATGTCTGTCAAACAATTTAAGTCTACAACTTACTGCTTTAGCTTTAAGCAATCGAAACTACATTCTATTAAAATAATTTTCTAATTACTATATTATATTGCATATATTTAGGAGTTTATGTTTAAAATTCAATGATGTAGTTTTGAATGTAAAGATGATTATTGTTACTTTCTTGGTTTTATAGAAGTTTGACGCAAGTATTTGAAGTTTTAACGGCTTAAAGTCGAAATGTAAAAAAAATTTCAGGAAACAATCCGAACATTCAAAGAACAACATTCCGAAATACGCGACTCTGAAATTAATAAATTGAAGCGGATGGTGCCAAACACTTAGAGAAAAAGATTAAAGTACCTCAATATCGTAAATAATAATTTAATACTAGTCTAAAATGGAGAGAAAAATTGATTTTTTACAAAAGATTCTAGAATTTGTAACTAAATATGCTTTTAAAGAAAAATAAAAGCTACATTTTTCGGTATATATGATGTAATAGAAGGAAAGATGATATAGGGGAGACAAAAAATCTATGTTCATAGGGTGAATATGTGAACACGTGTAGACATTTTTGTCCCATATTTTGATATGTTCATGCTCATTATTTTCAATATTTTCGTATAAAAAACATTCTTATTGTTATTTTATATTTAAGCCAAACACACATATGTACGTACGTATCATACAAGTAAACGCACGTGCGTTTAAATAAAAAAATTCAAGTAATCCGATCTAGATACAAAGTAAAACAAATCGATTCAAAACATGATCCCTTTTTTTCTACACATTTTTACAAAAAAAAAATTGCAAAAAATATGAATGTTAGTTTCACTTTTGCCTGTCCGTCAGCCTTTTTTTTTACAAAAGTTCAAGAAAAGGAAACCTGAAATCTCTTATGTAACACATTGTTTTCTCTATTAAGCTTGCTCAAAATAATAACTGTTCCATAGTTCTCCTAAAGGTATGCAAAATAAGTTGTGAAATAATAATTATTCACAAACGGAAATAATTTTTATTCATAAGTTCCGTTTACCGACCGAATTTCTTATAACAAGATTATGATCACATCAAATATGGCGTATGCCAAATTTTAAACGAAAATAGATTCGTTCATGTTAGAGAAATGTAGATGAGCTACTTTTAGTCAGTCTTATTTTAATATCGATCAGTTGTTTTCCCTCTCAGTTCACTATTCTCCCATGGTGTGCTTCTTTATTTCAATTAATTAATTCAATTTAAGAAAATGGAATTCTATAGAGTGAACTCCGGTTAAGAACTTTGTCTAACATTTGTGTAACACAGTAACAAGAACATATATTTCAAAATTTGTGAATATTAGTCAGAAAACAGACAAAGCAATCGATTTTGTCACAATCACATTTCTTTTTGACTCAAATTATTTAAATGAAATATGCTAATTTCAAATCCTCACTCTTAACCACTTGTATATTTGTTTTATATTATTTTTTTTTTATAAAGCAACCCATAAGTAATTTTTAAGGTCTTATATTGAAAATACGGATCTTTTATAGATATAATAGCATTAAAATTCAACTACTCGTAAATACACGAAAATAGCACCAACAAAAAAAAAAAAAGAAAAACTCATCATACCGCAAATAACATGATTAACAAAAGGTAAAATATCGAATAGGCGTACATATTCATATACATACATGAACACATTACATCCAAACATAATATACGTAAACTGCTAAGGAAATTTTCACGATTATTTATAAAGGATGTCGAAAATGTCAAATTTAATAGACATTATGATATTTTGTTATATAATTTATAATCAAGCTTAAAATTTTTTTAAAATTTAATGTACCAGCCCTCTTTGTTATACACTTTGTTATAATTTTTTATTCCATTCCAATTTTTTCTTATTTTTGGTTAAAAATGATTGAACATGGTTAAGAGAAATCTCACGTGCAATTATCCTTTACAATTTCCAATATATTTTTCAACTTAATTCCCGAAAAAAAAAAATAAATGATTATTTTGTATATCGCATATATTGATAAAAATAAGAACAAAATATACACACATACACCAGACTATAATCAAGTTAAAAAGGATATTTGGGTATAGAAGCGACATCTATATTGAATTATTTATACATTTATAATATGATGACATGTCACAGTAACGGTACATTTATATCAATTTACACATGTTAAAGGTAAATGATTCCATGTTTAAATTAAAAAAAACAACAAACAAAAATAAAAACGTAAAAGAGAAAGAGAGAGAGTGAGAAAAAAAAGGCACAAAATAATGATTATTTCAAGATAAAATAAATGTTTATGTAAGTGTGTGTTATGCAAATGAATGTAAATTTTTTATATACATTTGTACATATGTAAATTTTGTAAAATGTAACCAAAAAAAAAAAACCCAGATAACTGGAGAACAGTTTCAGCGTTAAGAAAAACAAACCGAAAAATAAAAGAGAAACAAAAAATAAATAAACAAACAAACAAAAAAAAATTTTGAAAAGATGAAAGAAAAAATATGAATTTTTATTTTTTATACTTTTCTTTTTTTATTTTCTTGTTTTTTGCCATCATTTGATAATTTTTCTTTTATTTTATGGTATAATGAAAGTTGTCATTTAAGTATTTCATATATTATTCATTCACCTATACTCTCTCTCTCTCTCTCTGTTAACAATGCTAATAATATTTTTGTCTCTTTCATTTTTTACATTTTATATAATTAGGATAATGGAATTTATGAGTTGAAAACAAAAAAAATTGTTTTAGTTTTGTCCTTTTTTGTTTTTTAAACGGTTAGAATTCATAAAATATTCAAAATTAATTATGAGAAAAAAAAACAACAAAAATAGAGAGGGAGGAAAGGGAGAGAGAGAGAGAGCAATTCAAAATTCAAAACAAAAATTTAAAGTTGACATTTTAAATTTTAATTTAAAAATTTTAACATTGGTGGCGTTGGTGTCGTTTTCGTTCCGTTTGACACTAAAAAGTTTTTTAATTAAAAAAAAAAATAAAAAAAAAATTTTTTTTTTGGTTGCTTTTAATTAGCTACAAAAGGTTATGAACAAAATTAATATTTTTTTTTTGTTATGCCTAAAGCATTTAAATCAATTGATGTTTAAATTGTTAGGTTGGAAAAATTTACTGCTTAACTTTAGTAATTATAAAGACATGACGTAGATGAGAATGTGCTAACGTCATTATTGCAAGGTGCACATAGATCAGGTAGGTTTGTTGTGATATCGACAAATTTTATATTTTCGCCCTCATATTTATTAGTTCGGACTTTTTATAAACTTTATAGCATTCGCCTGGCTCTAAGAACACAAAAAAAAAAATTACAACTCAAGAAATATCTGCCTTCTCCTTACCAGAACTAAGGTAATGAGTAAAGTAGGTTTATCACAATTAGGTCGATTTCAAATTGTGCCGCCATTTTACTGAGAAATTGCTTAGAGACACTGATTTCTAAGAAAATATTAAAATGAAATATTTACTTGTACAATGTTTCAACACCCTTTATCGTTTTATACTTACATAACATTTTCTTACATATATCGAAGGTATTAACCTGAAGCACAGATGTATGACACTTAGTACTGAAAAAATTCACAAGATAAAGAAAGCGAAAATCGAATTAGAATCAGTTCAGCAAACTATACACTGTTTTCTATACGGATACTCTAGCAGACAACTGTCAGATTTGTAATATAATGATTACGATCAACATTCATTATTGCTCATACCGGTCATTCGTTATTGCTCATATACTCATAATTTAATATTGTCATATAATATATTTACACTGTTCTAGATTATACAAAAATATTATTTCAATTAAAAATTATCTGCGTATACTAACCTGCAGCTCTGGCTTCTTTACAAGCTTCATACATATCAGCTTTAATTTCTGGATTGTCATCAGCTATCGTTTCACCAACTGTAACAAAACGTTCAACAGCCAAATTAACAGCTTGACCAACACGACCGATAGCCCTCATCGTTCTTTCAGATGTTGTATGGGGTCTTTCAGATCGATGTTGTACTAAAGTTGATATCTGTGATATGAAAATAAAAAAAAATAAAAGGAATTTTAAAAATTGCAACTGAATTATTAACTATGGAATGTAAGATTAAAATATTTTCATCAAACACGTTGCATTGAAAATTTTATATCATACAAGTTTGATATCATACATAACTCATATCATACATAAGAAATTTTGCATGGTAAAAAGAAATTTGCGTTCTTTTTTACAATTATTAACAATTATTTTTCAATTTTGGAAATTGCAAAATTAATTTTTTAAGTGATTTTAATGAATTTTTCAGCAACAAGTTGAATTTTTTAATTGAATGTAATTTGCATTTATAGTTATTAGAGTAGAAGTAAATAATAGGAAAAATAACTTTTTTTTTATGAAAAATCCTTAATACTTTTGCTTTTATTGCTTAGTAAAGTTTAAAGTTCGCGTGTGTGGAGAATTTGCAATTTTTCAATTATTCCTTTATTCGCTAAGGGTTGTAATTTTTATTTTAATGTGGGCTGTTTATTGCTAAAGTTTCATAAATAGTTTGTTTTTTATTACTCTTATGCTCAAATAATTATTGAACAGTTGCATTTAATAGAAAGAAATTTATTTTAATGGGAAAATAACAATATGGCTATGACGTCATAGAAGTAGGTTTAAGTTATTTTAATATAATGTAAAAATTGCGACTCCAGGGTAAATTTATATTAATGAATTATCAGATCTTTAGTTGTTTTAAGTTCTGTTGGCGTAGTTGAAACAATGAACGAATTTCCAAGTAAATAAAATACCAATTTTGCAGTTCTATTCGCTCCGATGATCTAAATTAACATAGGATTTAAAAATGAATAATAAGTAGAAATTGTTACAGGTTTCACGTTGCAGGTCTAGGGTTTATTCGACTTATATTAAAAATTTTAAAATTTTCTCTTAGAAATTTTCAGGATAAATTAAAAAGTTCAAAATATTTGCATGATGTGCAGGTTAAGTGCGTCTCAGACAATACTTGTACAGGATATTCCAAACTTATTGTGCAGTTCAATTCAGGTCAATCAGCTAAATTTCAAAATTTCTTACTCCTTTCTGGAAAATTAATTCCAATTTTATATTTTACTTTTACTCTGAGAATTTAAGTTTCACTTTGCAATTAATTCAAATTGAATAATAATATTGTTTTCAATTTTAATTTTTATTTCTCTTTAATCAACTCTTATGATCATCAAAATTCTCCTCCTTACAATAAATTTAAAATTTTACCAATGTATTATTTTACAATTCCGGAATATTAATAATAATTTTTTTTTCTCATTTTCTTTACTGTACCTTCAACATTATTACCTTTAAACTTTGCTGTTACACCTATAAAATTAATACTTTTTTTTTTTTGGAAGCAAATTTATTTAATTTATTCTTTTCTGCATTTTATACAAGGCCATAACTGTTATATTATTATATAACACATATATACGTATTTGAATTCATATTTTTGTATAATAAAGAAAAAATTAAATAGAGCATTTTTAAATTTACATTTTGGTTATCTTTATTACCAACTTATTGTAGAAACGAAAAAATATTTATTTGTGGTAAAATACAGTAGAGTCACAACTGAATATATTTTAGTTGCTTATATCTATTATAATTATAGAAGAACTTTCCCGTTAACGCAATTAAGTGAGAAATGTATTCTAATAACAGAGAAATAATTATTTTTGATATCAAAGAAATAATTCGGTTGAGTTCGGGAAATAATGTAGATTACAGTAAAATCAGGAAAATATGAATTGCAACATGTGACATTTATGTAATTAAATACCGGATGGATGATAGTATAATGGGTTCAATGAACCTCATTCGTAAAAATATAAGAAATGTGCCATCCCAGAAAATATTGATTTATATAGGATGGCTAATAAAACAACAACATAATTTTTGACATAATTTGATTTTATTCATCAACATAGTCTCTTTTTAAGCCGTTACAGTCATTCCAGTGCTTCTTTAACTTTTCGATGTGGCGGAGTTCGATTAACACTTATCAAGCCATTGTTTGGTCTGTACCGTACAATGTGCATACGAAATTCTGATTTTTCCATTTTTTTTTTCAATTCACAAAAGTTGATTTAATCGTTCACACACTTACTTATAAAATAATGGTCCAAATGTCATGAAATTTTGACAGATATCGTTTGAAGGTTGGTACTTTCTAAAAAGCATACAAATTCGGTATTTGTGTCACCATCTATATGTCATCCTACGGATTTATTCAGCGATGCGTTACATTATATTTGCTTGTTTTTGAGTTAGTAAATATAACAGACTCTCTCTTTCGTATCAGTAAACATTCTCTCTTTATTTAAAGAAGACTCTCTCTTTATTTGAAAAGTTCAGATTATTGTGAATTTATTGTATTCGGTTATTCTTTTATTGCATCGTTTTATACTATCGGTTTTATTTTTATATTTTCTCGGAAGTACTCGAATATTCTAAAAAATTGCCAATAATAATTGAAAAAAAAAATTTTTTTTTTTCACTTTATTATAATTAAAAAATTAATTTTGCATAATTTTTTTTTCATTCAAATTTTTTTTTGAAAAAAAGATATTAAACTGAAAAAGTATTGAAAAATAATGGAAAAACCGAAAAATAAAAGTTTGTGTTATAAAAGTTGTTTAGTTGGTTGGTTGGTGGGATGGCAGTGGAGCAAAAGAAAAAATGTGAAATTAATTAACAAGAAGAATTTCCTATTAATTGAAATAAGGCTTATAAAAATAAGTTTTAGAAGTGGAATATTAATTTTTTTATTAAATTAAAATTTTTAATATTTTAAAAATAAAATAAGAATTATACTAGTTTAATAAGAAATATTTTAGAATTCCATTCAATATTCTTTGTACAAAATCCAAATTAATTGTCTCAAGTATGCCGTTAATATGTTGGCTTGTTGCTTTCATTCTGCATTTTGCAAATGCAATTAAATTTATATTTAATTTTTATTTTGAAAATTCAATAATACGAGTAATCAACAAATTCATTGAAAAGTTTATTTTAATTATTAAAATCTTTAATGAATTTTATTGTTTCAAATAAAAAATAATGGACTTAATTAATTAAAATCGAAACAACAATGTTAAACTTGAAATAGACTTTTATTATTTTATTAATTAATTTTAAAATATTGAAAATATTAATGGAAATTTAAAACAAAAAATATTTAATTTGAAAGTGCGAAGAAATTCAGAATTTTTATTAAAATCAAAGAGAATTCAATATTACTAAGAGAAAAGAAAATTCAAAGAGAAAATTCTCAAATGAAATTTTAGTATTAAATGTTTACTCCTAAAAGTATGCAATTTTTCGGCTCTTGAGGAGATTTTTTATATATTTTATTCTCTAAAACATACTCACATTTTAATTAGTAAGTATTACTTAAGGGTTAATTGAAGTTAAAAAAGAAATTTTTCTACTAATTTTTTTAAAAAATTAATATAACAATAAAATGTTGGGGACAGTAAACACTTAGGACGCTATACTGTATAACTGTTATACGCTTATCAGGAAAAAGTAATATGTCAATATGTGAGTCAAAAAAGCAAACTTTTAATAATTCAAAATATCTCATCTTTGCAATATTTCATAAATCACAATATTTTATTAATCATAAAATAGCCTCAACATTATAAAAATTTGGGGTCCAACAGTGGCTTTAAACACTAAGTTTTAATTAAAGAATGTTTGCTTGTATAGCAATATTAGCATAATAGCAAGGTGTATTGTAAGTTTTTTGCTAGCGTACTGTAAGCGTTGGTCCATTAAAGAAGAGCCCGCTCTGGCTGGTGGCCATACTGTTGTGGGATATCCCCACGGAAAAGTTGCTCGGATTCATCAGAAGTGTGAGTCTCAAGGGGGTGCTCTAGTCAGGATACTAGGCTCTCATAGTGAGGGAAACAATAGATCCTTCAGGTCGCGGTGCATCATCATCCCTAGCACAAGAATAAGGACATTATGAAATATTTCTTCTTTTAGCAGTCTTTTAACAATGAACAGTGCTCTTTATAAATTTTAGTGAGAAAATTTCAATAGTTTTATTATAAAAATTCAAAATAAATTTAGAAGGACATTGACAACATTCACATTTATAAATTCAAAACGAATGAGTGGGAGGAGAAATTTTAGCAATTTAAAATTGTTAATAATGAAATCTTAGTACAAGTTATAATGATAATAATAATAATAATAATAAAAAATTACGAGAGTAATTGAAATTGCTAAAATCCGCAAATAATTACCCCTTCCCCCCTCCCCGGGGAACATGAATTTTTGATGACGGATTAATAAAAAAAAAAACAAAATTCCGATTATTTGAAAGTTTACGAAATTTTTACATTTTATGTTTTATTTGTTATTGTTTTTTTTTTTTTAGGAAAACAAGAAACGATTAGTCCTTGTAAGTCATTAATCAAAAATTTAAATTAAAATGTTAGGGAATTAGAATTAAAATAAATTTTTTTTGTCTATCCTTTGTGTTTGGCTTATTTTCTAAGAAATCTGGATTTGAAATGAGATGAAAGGGAATTTCAATATAAATTCGGTATAATATTTTAGGATATTTTGATTGTATACCTGCGTATAAGTGTGTGCGTTCACTAAAATGTATATTCAATTTACATACATTTCTAAAAAATATATAAAATGATAAATGAATTTATTTGAATTTGTTGAGAATTTAAAATGGGAGTTGCAGGAAAAGAGCCCGGAGGGGGGAATTGGAAATGGTGGAATGAGTATTAAAATTGTGCTCGATTAAATATTAAAAATTTATTTTTTATAAAGATATAATTAAGGTGTACCCTGTGTAAGAATTACTGAGTTATTTTATATTGTGCACAAAAATATAGAAATTCATTAAATTGTTTGTTACCTTAAAAGTAGCTTTAAGATTTTATTTTGTATATTTCTTTTTTGCAATAAAATTTACAATTTACGAGATTTATTTTGCTCAAATTTTTAATTATGTATAGCACGAG